TCCGTCCCATAAGCTTCCAGGGATGTCCTGCAGTCTCACGGGAAATAGAGCACGGGCTTCTCAGGGTTGACACCTGTCGGAGGGGGCCAGGCTCAGACAGGCGGGTCTCCGCAGAGGTCCGATCTGGGCTTTGCGTCCAGGAAGGCGTCCATGGTAGCAACGGGTCTGGGAAACCGAACTGGCGGACCGGGTACTTGGAGCAGAACGGAACAGGAAGGCAGTGCTGAGGGCTAGCCCATTTCAGGGGCCCAAGGGACAAGGCAAGGGCCGTTACAAACCACAGCAGCAGGTGACAATCCAGGGCCCTGAATACACTAGCAAGGCTTCCCAGCAGGTGAGGAGGGCGGGACCCAAGGAATCCGGGGTGGACTGGGGTTCATGGGCAGCAAGCAAGCTCTGGAGAGGACACTTGGCGGGTCATCACAACGGGAACTCAGAGTCAAGGGTCAGGGCAGGTGAGTTATAACAACTGAGGAAAACACATAGAGGCTCTGGTGTGTAGGAATGAGGCAAGAAGTACCTTGAGTTGAACTCCAGAAGGGGTAGCTGGTTCTCCTTGAATACCCTGTGCTCAGTAAGGACTGGCCCCAGGAACCAGGGGAGCCTCGGGGGGAGAAGCAGGCAGACGAAATCTGGGAAGCAGCCTTAGCCGGAGAGGAAAGACAGATCCGGGGCTGGAGACGAGGCCCAGCAGGCAGGAGAGAGGGGGCAGCTTTAGCGAGGCCAGCCCTTGCCCGAGAACCACTCACAGAGCAGTGGTCTTGACAAAGAACTTCTGGGCCACTGGAATGCGTGTGGTCAGCCTCACTCCTGGGCTGGACCGGCTGGGTTTTAGGGGCCCCCAAATTAGTGGCTGACCTCAGCCCGTGGAGGGAAGGATGAACCCCCTCATCTAGTAGGAATCTGTGGTATCTCTGAAGCGTCAACCCTGTCTTCTAACCAGGTTCAAGGTCCTTCTGGAGAATGTGTGCCTTTCGGGAGCCCCACCAGGTCAGCTCTGGGGCCGGGCTCCCCGGGGGGCAGCCCATCCTTGCTGGTGCGGGCATCTCCACCCCCCGGGGCTCCGGGCACCGGGGAGCTTGGCAGAATGTAAACGGTGTCTGTACACGGTCAACGCTCTCCGGTCATCGTCACCTGTCCCGGAGTCTCACACCGCACTGCTGTTCCCTGCCTCGCTCTGCTGTTGCCAGGGGTGTGTGCTGGCGGATGGCAGTACCCGATGGGAAACGCACGAAGAGGAAGGAGAAACACATGAGGAATTTTTGCTTTTTCCTGCATTTCTGGTTCACTGCCCGTCACCGTCCACCCCGATGGAAAACACCTTGAATTTCACTCTCGGTGCCCCTCCGCCCACATCCGGTCACCTTCCCCGATGCTCACCACACAGGGGCACAGCTTCCGAACAGCCTGAGTGGGACCATGCTGGTGGGGGCGGGGCATGGGGCAGAGGAGGGCGGCTTCGGCTTCGCCACCAGGTCCCTTATCCAAGGATCGTCTCCCTCTGGTCAAACCGTAAATGCAGACGCCCGCAGGAAGGCAGGGAGACACGGCCCCTCGGGCTTTCTACTCCTCCAAACCTTCAGGGACCGGAAGGGGTGGTGATGCGTGAGGCGCTGGGCGGGAGAGGACGGGGAGGGGGAGGAGAGACCTCACCTCTAACCAATTCTTCTTCTCTAAATGTTTGCGATCAGAGCCCCCGGGGAGGCTTCCAAGGCTTCAGACACTTAAATGTGGCAACGGCTATTTTTAACAGAACGTCGCCAATTTTGAATCAGTTCTGAGGGCGGGGGAATAGCGCTAAGTGGCTCTGCCGGCCACAGAGTGTTTTCACTGGGAGGGCAGGCAGGCGGAGTATTAAATGTTTAATGCTATCGCTCACATACCGGCTTTAGGTTCAGTCTAGCACAAAATCCTTTCCACGCGCGTGAACCCGCGTTGTTGTATGTCAAGGCGATTTATGTAATCGGCATGTACACTGTATTCGTGTCCCTTTTCTTGAGACTCTGACCTAATTTTACTGTTAAAACGGACATAGAAAGGAGCAGTGTTTGGCCCTGCGTTTTTCCCAGGGATAGCCTGATTTCGGATTTGCGGGGCCCTGCAGCGGGGTGGACTGCCACAGGCTGCGGGTGCGATGCCAACCTCTTCTCTCTGTCCTCTGTCCATCTTCCTCACCAGCAGGAGGCGGCCTTGCAGGGGGGTGGGGCTGGTAGGCCGCAGTGGGGGCCCACGGCCAAGGTCAAGGGGGGAGAGCAGAGAGCTGGGGGGGATTGACAGCCAGTCCATCTAGAGTGGGTCCAGAGCAGGTGAGGTGGGCGAGGCGGGGCCGGCGGGAGTGGCTGGATGGAATGGTGAGTTCGGGGAAGGCTGGGGAAGACTCTGGAAGTCAAGTTGAAGAGCTTGGATTTCATTCCAAAGGATCTGGGAAAGCCCAGCTTTGGATCATGTTTTGAAGACCGTAGCTCGCAGTATTGACGGAAGGACCAGACCAGGAAAGGTGGGAAGCAGGGAGACATTTCCAAGGTCACTGACGCAACTCAGGCTAAAGCAGAGCAAGCGTCCGCCCCAGGAGAAAGGAAGGATGGACATAACGGCGAAACAGAGACAGACTCTTCGACAGGGAGCAGGCCGACAGGCCTCGGGGTGCGGGAGCTGGTGAGGGGGTGGGGGGAATGAGCAAAACATTTAAAAACAGAAAACCTCCCGGACAAGGACCACAGCTCGGTGACCGCGGGGTGGGGCAGCGCAGGTCGGGGGGAGGGGAGGAGGGTGTGGGGGGATGGTGATGGATGGAGACTTGTCTGGGGGCGGTCAGCACGCAGTACGGTGTACAGAGAATGGTTGTACAGGGTAGAGTGTACAGTGTACAGTGTACAGAGGATGGTTGTACAGCATACAGTGTACAGTGTACAGTGTACAGAGGATGGTTGTACAGCATACAGTGTACAGTGTACAGAGGATGGTTGTGCAGTGTAGAGTGTACAGTGTACAGAGGATGGTTGTACAGCGTACAGTGTACAGAGGGTGGTTGTGCAGCGTACAGTGTACAGAGGGTGGTTGTGCAGCGTACAGTGTACCGTGCACAGTGCACAGAGGACGACTGCAGCGTTCACGTCTGAAACAGGCAGAAGTTTGTTAACCGGTGTCACCCCAGTCACCTCAATAAGAAAGGCCTTGGGGAGAGTGGAAGCAACGGGACTTGGAACGACTGCCCTAATCTCCTTCCTTCCTCCCCACCCCGTGCCCTGCGGGCAGCGCCGCGGGGGACAGCGGAGGGATCGTCTCACGTCCGCCCCAGGTGGAGCTGTGGTGCGTCGGTGGGGCGGCCAGCGCTGCGGGTTGTGGGGGCGGGGGCGCTCAGCTTGTTCGTCAAGCAGGTAACACGTGCTCAATAGAGAACCTTCAGGAAACACACCCGAAGGGGACACAGAACAATCAAAACCAATAAATCCCGGCCACACGGCTCACAAAATGAGGACTCTTTAACATTCTGGTGTATTTGTTTTTCCTCTATTTTTTAGGTATTGAGATCTTTTAAAAAAATATTTTATTTATTTACTTCTAGAGAGAGGAAAGAGAAGGAGAGAAACATTGATCAGTTGCCTCTTGCAGACCCCCAGCTGGGAACCTGGCCTGCACCCCAGGCTTGTGCCCTGACTGGGAATCGAACCAGCGACATTTCAGTTCACAGGCTGGTGCCCAATCCACTGAGCCACACCAGCCAGGGCTGACCTGTACTCTATTTTCCATTTACTTAGGGAATTTTCCATATTACACAAAAACCACGGTTATAAATACCATTTTATTGACTAGTTAGTATTTCCCCAGTGATAAACACCATAATTTGCTAAACTGTTTCCCTCTTCCTAAACATTTAAGGTACTTCCCCATTTCCGTTACCATAACAAACCAGCATAACAGGCATCTTTGTGTGCAGAGCGAGGCGACAGCTAAGACTTGTCCCTGGGGATGGACGGATGGCAGGGGGATCGCTGGGCCAAAGCGCATGGTGCTTCCAAAGCGCTTCACATATTTCAAAACTGTTTTCTAGAAAAGTGCAACCAATTTGCACTTATTCTAGAAAAGAATGAAAATGCCCCTCATATTGCCATCACTTGGCTAGTACTCGAGAGAACGTATACTTAGAAAAACAATCTGGTGAGGGGAGGTGGTGTCTTAGAATGTCACCTGCATGCTTGGCGGCAGGTTTGTGGAACACCACCCCGTGTTTGCTGCCGGTTCTGGCTCCTGCTCTCCAAGGTGGGTGTCTGGGGCCCCTGCCTCAGGCCTGCCAGTGCCTCGACCTCCCCGTTCCGCCCCCACTCCTTGGTATGTGCCTCTAATGAGAGTTTGCATCCTTTGCCTGCTTTGGAAAAAAAAAAACACCACTTCTTTTCATTGTTTGTCTTTTAAATTTTGATGGTTTCTTTGTTGACATCAAATACCTAAATTTTTAAACAGTTAAATCTATCGACCAGTCATTTTCTTAAAGATTTCTTTTCTCTGCTAAACATAGCCAGTCCTTCTCAGAAGACTGATAAATATTTCACTGAAGAGTATTTTCGTGGACAAATTACCCTTAATCTTGCCTTCCCTCTAGACTACAGACAGACCCTCCTTGCTTGGTGAGACAGGGAGGTGAACGAGGCAGGGTGGGTTTGAGGAGAACAGTGGCACATTCTGGGTCAGACCAGCTTTCCAGGGCCCCAGGCCGTGTGTGAGGGCTTCCAGATGGAGACACAGGGCAAATGGGTGCTGGACAGGATGCTCCTAGGAAGCCAACCTCCGCTTCTTCCCAAACCTTGGTCATAGTGTCAACTTTTATTCCCCTTCAGAAGAGCTCGTGGGACACCCCCCCCCACCCCCCGTCCCAGTCTGCATTTTCTGAGCCCACTCGGTCATCCAGTCTACCATCATTTCCATAGAAGGGCCCTATGTTTTACTCTGAAAATGTACCACAGTTTCGGAAAGTATTTTTCCCACTTTGCCACACGACTTACCCATACCGATGCCGACCCACGTCACGGATGAGCCTCTCGGAGAGGTAGGCGCCGATCCGATCCAGCTTCTCCGGAGCGGAGAGGGCGTAGAAGGTCAGCTTCTCCATGTTGGTCTTCACCAGGCCATCCTGAAAAAGACAGGCCGTGCCTGCTGTCCGTGGACCTACTATGGCCAGGAGGGTTCGAGTCTCAAGGGAAATATTAATTCAATTTCACCGACATTTAGCAGAGTGCCATTGTGTGTGTGTGACGGAGAACATGCAGATTTCAGGGATACGGAGATGACTGAGACACGGTGCCTGGCCCCCAGGGGCTCACAGCTGAGCCCAGAGTGTGTCCGCTGTAACCAAACTACTAAGTGGTGTAAATGAACATGCATTGTGTGTGCATATATGGGGGTGTGTATATGTGTGTGTACATGTGTGTACATACATGCATGTGTACATAGGTATGTGTGCGTATGAATGCTTCAAGGAAAGTGACTCAGAAGTAGAAGGTGTTGGAGATCCAGCCCCAAGACATGAACGGAAAGAAGGCAGCTCTGTGACTCAGGGACTTCTCCAGAGGGTGCTGGAATGTGGACGCCCACCGCCTACCGCCCAGCACAAAGAGGCATTGATTCCCAGAGAGCAAGTCAAGCACATCGGATCTGCTGTTCCCGCAACTGTGCACGGAATGCAGCCCGTTGGGGGAGCCGAGAAGCTGGGTGCCCTGTGTGTGCACACCCCGACGTCTGGCAGACACCTGGGGGGGCCAGAGGGAGCTGGGAGAGAACCTGGGCTCCTGAGCCAAACCCCAGGAGGGGACGTGCTCACACCGAACAGCAGGAAGCGGTACCATTGAGAGAGTTAGCAGCCCCTGGAACTACCACCCAGAGAGCCGTGAGTGAGAGCGATGTCTCAGTTTATTCGGCGACACCCCAAAGCACGCCAGCACCAACTTGCGGAGCCCTCTGCAGACTCTGACTTCAGAGAGATCTCAGTCCCCCAGCGGCTTCTCGGAGGGGCCTGGGACAAGGGGCCCTGGAGGCCCAGCCTCCCCCGCTGCCGCCCTCAGAAGCCGGCATGGGCTGAGATGGAAAGAATGAGCGCAATGCCAGCCGGAGACGTCACGCACCTCGGGATCCTCAGGGAAGATGTTGTCAACCAGCCTTTTGTACCTGGGGCGTAGGGCGCCACAGCAGCCACACACACCTGGAACGACAAGGAGAGAAACTCGTGAGCACGGCCCCCGGGGCCAGGAGGAGGTGACCTCAGAATCAGGCCAGGGTGGCTTGTGAGGAACCAAGGCCATGCTGGAAACGTAGAGGTCCCTCTGGTCGAGGGCAGGGTCTCATCTTTCCCCAGGGTTGGCACCTCCCACTCCCTCTCTGCTTTCCAAAACACTTGCCCTGCTGGCTTCATGTCTTTTGCTTGGGGTCGCACACCGTGTCACATGCAAGGATGATGCCAGCAGACCAGCACCTGCTCATGGTGCCAGGCCCCGGAGGAGCATTTTGAGGGGTGAGGCTTTGGGGTGGGAGCTTACCTATGGGCCAGGTGCCGCCCCCGTGTATCCCACTGTTACCTGCACACGCACATACACACGCGCGCTGTGAAACCGAGACAGGACTATAAAACCGCCTCCCGCCGCTCAGGAGCCTGCCGCGGCCCCAGGAGACGTGCACAGCTTGTTGAGTGGCAGCTCTTCCCACGCTGCCCCCTCACTTGCGCCCCACTTCTTTCCTCCCCGGCTCCTGCATCTTCTCTCCCACTCTCTCTCCAGGGACCATTTCCATCATTGGATGTTAGGCGGAACTATGATAAATTAACGTCACCATTAATTATTAACATCTGAAAGTGCATCTGTGAGGCCTCGCGACAGCGGTGTTTGGAAACCGTGGCATCTGAGAGCCGGGCGGGGCCTCGGGCTGGCGGTCGGTCTGTGCTCCTCAGTGCCAGCCGCCCCCACCCACCGGGCTGCGGCCCGACGAAAACTGGGGCACGCTTTTAGGAAGCTTCTGGTGCTGTGAAGTGGCAGTGCCAGGAAATCGATGACAATAAAACAAACCTTGGGAAAAGCCACCGTTGACCATTTTAGGTCTCTCCATGAAACATTTTCGATGGACAGAGACGATGGGGCCGTCGGGGAACCACCGCTGTTCGGTAACCCTCCGCCTCCGGAGCAGGAGCCGCCCCCGCCCCCACCCCGGGCACCGACCGCCCAGCACCCCGCAGCGCCCGCCCGTGGGGAAGCGGGCCCTGTCTGTGCAGGAGGGGAGAGGAGAGCAGGGCAGCGCCTGGGAACGTCTCCGCCCCGAACAACTGCCCCCCCCACCCCCCACCCCCCCCCCCCTTTCTACCAATCAGCACTGAGTTCTGCTTGCACAAACTCTCTACTTGGAATGCAAATACGCCCTGGAAGGACCAGGTCCCTGGGCTGTTCGGAAGAGAATCAAGTGCTTCAGTGGGAATTGCTTTAATCACACAAAGAGCTTCACACCGGCGGAGAAGAGGGCTCTGGGAGTTGTGATTTGCTGGCGGGGGGGGGGGGGTGGATGGCAGGGGCAGCGTCAGGAGGAGGAAGGATGGAGATTTGGGCTCTAGGGGTGATTCCCCCATGAGGGACTAGGTGTGTCCTTGGGGAAGCCCAGGGGCACCCCAAGAGGGCAGGATATCAGACAGCTGGCAGATTCGTGACATCCCTCCCCAACCTCCGGGGCTGGCTGTGTGCCCCCAGCCTCCCTCGGGCCCTGGCTGTGCCCGGGGAGGGCAGCTCTCCAGGTCCCGTCCTGCTGGGCTGGGCTGGCACCCCTGCCTGGGAGAAGGTTGGCACTGGGTTAGTTCTCTTGATAGGGCAGCTCCCGAGGGCCGCTTGGGCCCCAAAGCCCAGGAGCTAACCTGCCCTTCCACCAGCGCCGCCAGCAGGGAGCCTTTCCCCAGGTGTCCCAGCAGCCTCCCTCCTCACCATCCCCTTTGTGTGTTAAGGGCATGAGCAAATGGAGACACGGAGAAGTTAGGACTTAACATACCGGTGTCAGTCCCTTCCTCTGACCTTTCTGGAGGGCCCAGGAGCCGGAGCTGTACCGGACAGGGGCCAGGCTCACGGCCGTCGGAAACCCAGACGTGTTGAGAAAGCACAAGCCCATTTTGGTTGCTTGGGGGGTGGGGACCTCTGGGCCAGACCTGTGGGGCGGCGGGGCTCCTAGTGCTGGGGCGACACAGGGCGGGAGCGCCTACCCAAACAAACCTCTGGTTATGACTTCCCCATCCTATCTGCTCCACTTTAGGCACGGAGAAAGTGATCGTATGGGGAAAGTGATTTTTGGGATCTCGGCCAGAGGGCAGAAAGCTCAGAGCAGCACCCCACACTCCCCGGGCAGGTAATCGGAGTCTGACACTGGAGATAAAGGCCTCCTCTCCGATAAGGCAAAGAAGTAAAGAGCGGCACAGGCACCCCCACGAAGCTCCCAGCCGGAAGAAGGTGAATTCAGAGTAACCACAAACAGGCCAGGGGAGGGCAGTGTGTGTGTGTGTGTGTGTGTGTGTGTGTGTGTGAAACACGAAGAATAGAAGACACTGAAAAGTAATCGGAAACAGTTCATTGTTACTTAACATAACAGTTCATTGTTATATTATGGGATACATTTTATATATTCTTTAATCTTGCTTCTGATAGTATTTTTTTCCTGAGAGAGAGAGAGAGAGAGAGAGAGAGACATCAATTTTCTGTTCCACTCATTCACGCATTCATTGGCTGATTCTTGCACGTGCCCTGACCGGGGATCAAACCCACAACCTTGGCGTATGGGGCTGGTGCTCTTAACCAACTGAGCTACCCTGCTAGGACCTGATGGCATTTATTCTTAATGTTAGTGCATAGAAAGAGGTGCAGCTTTAACTCACAGCCATGTGCCTGTAAAAAAAAAAAAAACAAAACCTTTTAAATTCTGAGTCCTTTTATTTCTGAGAGGTCGCTCCCCAACCTCTTACTCTCTGGGGAATCGCAGCTGGCAGATCCGAAATGGGACGCCAGGAGTCGATTCCTGAAGGAGCCTCTTCTGTCACTGATGTGTTCATACCTATTTTCAGATTGAGAGGGAACGTGATACGGCCAACACTGCCGCTCTGGTTACTGAAGAAGTCGCATCAGTGGGGATTAGCAGCGAGCGTGTCCAATGACAGGATTCCCTTGGCTGCCTCCAGCCTTAAGACTCTAATTACGGTTAGCTGCGCCTCAGCGGCCCTGCCCCTCCTGCCATCCCCCGACGGTTCACCTGCCCAGCGGCAGGGGCCTCCTTGCACTCGGCCCTCGTCTGGAATGTTCCGTCCCACATCCTCCTGGCGCCCTCACGGCTCACCCCGAGGAGTCTGCCTAAATGTCACCTTGCTGGGGAGCACTTCCCTGCCCACCACTCTCCTTTAACTTACTCTCCCTCATCTCTTCCCTCTCATGACGCTTTTTACCAACTGACACATTTCTCGTGGGTCTACACTCTGTCTCCTCCGCTAGAAGGGAGGTTTCTCGAGACCTCCAGGTGCTTGCAGGACGGTTCTCCCAGGAGGGTCCCAGGGCAGCTCAGCGGGAGAACCACTGGCTCCCGGTCCTGAACTCTGCCCAGCCTCTTCTGGGGCAGCCATCACCTAGGGCTCTGGAGGCTGGGTGCACGGAGCCAATTGCTCTGCAGGACAGGGCGGGGTGGGGGAGAGGTGGGGTGGTTTTGGCTGGGGGGTTGTGTAGCACTGGGTCAGGGTTCCTTCTGCCCTGCCCTGCCACATGCTGGCTCCCCACTCACTGTGCCCAAGGTGTGGCTTGTGGGCGCCACCCTGAGCATTCATTAGAAGTACCCTTGCACCTCTGAGGAGGGGCCAGAGGTATTCCGCTCTGATCCTGGCGCACAGCCAGGATGAGGCCCTGGCCCAGCTCTTTGCCTGTGCAGCATGGTGCAGCACGGGACAGCTGGTCTCACCGCAGCTGGCAGCCCCACGGGCTCTGGACCTCTGCTCCGGCCCGCCAGCAGCATCTGTCTCCCCACGGTCCTCACGCACCACAGGCCTGTTTCTCGTCTGCTCTGCCTGCCGGATCCTGCTACCTCGACTAATCCGTGCTAAGCTCTAGGCTGAGTGCTTCACAAATATTTCAGGTGATTTTCATAACAACCACTAAGGTATTACTATTGTTCTCATCGGACAGATAAAGAAGCAGGATCAGGCCCTGGCTGGGAGCCTCAGTCGGCTGGAGCATCCTCCTGAACACCAAGGCACTGCAGTTTCCGTTCCCGGGCAGGGCGCATACCTAGGTTGCAGGTTCGATCCCTGGTCGGGCGTGTACGGGAGGCAACCAATCGATGTTCCTCTCTCATGTTGATTTTTCTGCCCCCACCCCCACTCTCTCTCTCTCAAATAAATAAACATATCCTCGGGTGAGGATTAAAAAGCAAAAGGATCAAAGAGGTTACATGCCCTATCCAAAGTCACATAGCACCTTCCTCTCTGCCATGAAGCTCCCCTAATTCTCCTAGCACTTTCCCCAAAACATACCCTCCACAATTTCTTAGATTCATTCTGTGCTCTGCTTTGCTGTAGCCACCATCATCAGGACGTTTCTTTGACACTTGAGATCGAGTCCTGACAAATGTCACTTGGCCAGTCTCCTTGCTTCGATTCATGCTATGTGTCATTTTAAGCAAATCTTGGCTTGTTTCAGTTTGCTTTACAGTCAAGCAGTTCAGGTGACTCACGGTCACGTTAAATGTCAGCCCCTCAACTCAGTGTTCGACAAGAGATGCCCCACAGAGGTGGGGGGTGGGGGGCGTGGCCTTCCTCTGCCCTGGCTTCGATTCACGGGCCTCAGCAGAGTGTGGAGTGAGAGGGCTGGGAGGTGGGAGGAGAAGTGGATGGGGGTGGGGGAGCCACGCAGCCCCAGAGAGTCCCGCAGCTGTGGATGACAGGATGCTCCAGTGACAGGGACAGGGCAGAAGCTAGAGAGGGTGGAGGGTCAGGAGGGGCAGAGCCACTTAGCCGGGGCCTTGAAGTCACCCCGCCAGGGGGGCCCCAGACCCCGGCACCTGCTGAGTCCCCCTCGGAAGCCCTCCAGTTAATAACCTGCCCCCCCACACACAACTTAGGCACCACGCCCCCCCTCCAGCTGCCCTCTGTGTGCACTTGGCACCACGTCATCCTGTGAGCCTTCCACCACGTGCGCTCAGGCTAGG